GGCAGCGCGAAGCTAATGGACTCTGTTTAGCTTATTAAGGCAAGAAAAGTACCTCGCAGCATTAACCACTGAGATCAAAGTGGCTTCTCCCAACACCAAATCCCTTACCACCTCCATCCATTGGCATCTGAATCCTTCTCTCTGGTGGGAGGAAAGTAACACAGATACTCTGTATAAATGAAAATCCATCTTGGTGGCCAGGGAACCAGAGCAGAGAGGCATGTGTGTTGTGCGTGTGAGGGAGAGAGAAGAGCAGGGGCGATCGCCCACTGGCCATCGACGGATTGGAGTCCACTCCCATAGTCAGTAGACAGGAACGTGTCAACCTAAGAGTGATGGCCTTCTTAGTTCCACACAGTGTCTAGGATAGTCTTCAGGATGGCTTATTGTGCAGGAACTCCGAGAGAAGAACTGATTGTCTGGTCTTCAAGACTTCTGTCTGAGGGAATGGGTTTGGGTATAGGATTTAGTTTAGAGTGTCTCCCCCACCCCACACATATTGTTACCCTCTTTTTTCAAGAGATGATAAATTCTCCCTGGGAGTCCCAGCTTCTGGCACTCTAGTGTCATCGCTAGTGAGGACCCATGGAGCCCATCACGACAAAGACGGCCAGGCTTTGCGAAGCTCACCCCCTTGCACAGACTTTACAGTGGTGTTCAAACTCACTACAGCAGATGAAGGGACAATAGTGTAGGGGTCACTTGCGCGGATGACAGACAGCAGTAATACTACCGCTGCCAGTGGTACTGGTAACAGACGGTGGCTGACAGTCGTTTGGAATCTACTGGGCTCCAGCAAGTGTTCCAGAGCCTTCTACACATAAACCAATTTAATCCACACAGTAGCAATCAATGCACTATACTCTTCTCAAAAGCGAGAAGACAGACCCAGACAGGCCCCATAGCTTCCAAAGAGAGGAGCTGGGCTCTCAATGAGGCTAACATGTGAGTGGTACTGATAGAAGTGAGGGCTATGCATGTTCTGGAGGGTGAAAAAAATCCACATTAGAAGAGACTGGTCCATCTCAGAAGTCACCCTTGACTCTGAGGAGGACGGATGTCCACTCTCCTCAGCTGCCCAGAGTGGTCCCTGCCTCTCTGAGAAGGGGCCTGTGATATGGCAGGAACCTCTGGAAGGCTTCTCCCAGGACTTCTCGACGGCAGTGATACACCCCAGAATTATGAGATGCTGGGCCGCATCGCTAGTGAGGACCCACGGAGTCCATCACGACACAGACGGCCTTGATGTTGGGCTGCAGGAACACTTCCTCTTCTTTCCCCCCTCCTGGGAAGGAGCCGCTTTCAGGGAGCAGTTAACTGAGCAGGCATCTGGAGCCCCGTTTATTTGGACCTTTTGTTCCTGACAGACAGGAATCACAGAGATGAAAGTTAGATAAAAGAATAGAGCTATGAGCAGGATTTATGGAGAAGCGTGTGAACAGGAAGGAGACCTTCAGGCGGGATTTATTTATAGTGCTGCGGGGACTGTATGGATCAGTGTTGTGAGCAGGGAGTGTTCAGGAACTGTGGCGTTAAAACCCCTTTAATGTTCTTCGTAGGTGCCTGGAGGGTTCATAGTGATGCTTTCAGTCAAGTCGGAAAGCTCCCGACCGCATTTCCCCGTAAAGGTTCTCACGGGCTCCTCTTTCCGAATGCCGCCATCTTGGGCAGCCCTTGCCATCCACAATGTGGGCCCAGGCTCACGACTCTCACCTGGATACTTGGGCGAAGACTGGTTGTACGGGCACATATTCCGGAGACCGTATCTCCTCCTGCTGCCAGCATTCACTCCAGCTTCCTCATTGCTGTACCCAGAAAACCATTCTCTTGTCACTCTTAATTAGGCCTCTGGGTACTTTATGTAAGGGTGACATTTTCTCCTGACAGGCAGTACTACAGTATAGAATTGTCCTTGTCACTCTTTATTGCTTTGAACAGCTATGAGATCTCTTACAAGATGCCTATGGCTTCCTAAACACACGTTGATGGCACTGTGTCACCCATCTTGAAATGGCGAAGGTCACAGGCAATGTGCTGGAGGAAGGAAGACAATGAACACACTATTATAAATAGATGTGTGCTTCAGAATGGTCCTTTCAGACCTGGGGACGTTAGTTGGCAATTAGGAAGGAAATGATGAAAAGCAATCACAGTTTTATATATTTTTAGGAAACTCTTCTTCAGATGTATACCATGTACTGGATATATGTTTAATTTGGTTGCCAGAGGCTTAAATATTTTAGTGTAGCTATTTTCTTTATATTGAAAAAATGAATTCAAAGCTAAGACTGAAACAGCACTTGATACACACACACACAGACACACACACACAGACACACACACAGACACACACACACAGACACATACACACACAGACACACACACATACACACACACACAGACACACACACACATACACACACACACACACACACACAAATTTTAATGGATCCAGATGACCTTGCAGAATTGAAGGATCATCCTTTTTAAAATTTTTATTTTGATGTTTTTCTGCATATATGTGAGAGTGTTGGGTCTCCTGGAACTGGAGTTACAGACAGTTGTGAGCTGCCATATGGGTAGTGGGAATTGAACCAAGGTCCTCTGGAAGAGTAATCAGTGCTCTTAACCACTGAGCCATCTCTCCAACCCCCTTCTGAACTTTTAAGAGCATATACATGGGAGACTATTTCAGTTTGTACTGAATTTCACTTAATTTCCCAGCAATCCTCAAAAATACATTTTAATGATAAAACATTACATTTTATATTAGATTTGTTATCTGGTTTTCAAAATGTCTTTAGGCATTAGGTTAGAATTGCTACTATATGTGTTGCTAATCTGTTGAGGGAGAATGAGTATCAACTGCATTAAAGTAGCGACAATGGGCTGGGCCTGGTGGTAGCAGACTCCGTCCTGCAGTCCTAGCATAGGGAGCAGAATCTATAAGAACTGGCATTCTAGGCCAAGTTGGGCTACACAGTAGGTCCTTTTATCAAAAAAGAAAAGAAGAAGAAAGTAATGGCAGAACCATTCAGTTGCTGTTAGTCCACACCCAGTAACCGTTAAACCTCCAGTACTTGCGTAGGCAGGTGCTGTTACAGTAATACAAAGGGTCAGGGCTGGATGTAAATTCCTCAGAACTCTAATTTCATCATCTCTAAAGGAGGAACCTATGATCAATTACTGCTATTAATATTTTAATAATGCTTTAAAGTTCTTCTGCTGAAGATTAAATGAACAGCGCATGTCATATGCTTGTACCACAGCTGTTTTGTGATGGGAAAATGGGCAGAAGGAATGTTCAAGAAGCTGCCCAGCTCCTGAGCTTCCACTGGTCATTGGTTTCCCATTCTCCTTGAGCCTTTGGAGCGCTGCATTTGGGAAATGAGGCCTTGGGATTGAGGCCTAGTTTCTGCGCCAGGAATCCAATTCTATCTTGGGCAGAGTGGCAAGGTCACAGGGAAAGCTGCTATTTATAGCTGGGTCCTGATGGCACTTGTCTCTACTTCTGCACCATCTGAGGGTAGCATACCTGTCCAGCCTTAGGGAAAGATCATTTCCTCATGATCCTCCTGAAATCATGTCCTCCTGGAATCTGGTTGCATGTGTTTCCCTCTGCTTCCTTCCCTCGGGTTTGACTTGGCATTGGTGTTCACTGTTTCTATCTGTTGAGGTGCAGGCTTGCAGGCACACAGAGAAAGCCTCCTCTTCACTACTCTGTATCTATATAGTACTGGTCATTTCTTAGCATCAGGGCTCTTACACAAGTCAATCACTGAATATTAATTGATAATAAAACTTGGTGCACTCCATGACAAATGCATGGAGAAGAGAAGCTACCTCATAGTTTTGACACTAAGAGACAAAATACTTCTCATCTTTTTCAGTTTTTGGCAGTCATTGACAGAAGAGATGAGCTAGGGGTATATCTCATTGATTATTTTCTTTGCCTTGGGCCCGTGAGTTGTACCATTCCCAGCTGCAGATGCCTTCAACTGTTTATTTGGTTTTTTAAAGACCCCAAACAAAACAAAACAAAAACAAAGTAAAACAAAATAAAACCTAAATCAAGAGAATGGAGAGTTTTCTAGGTTCTCAAGTCAGAAAGAACAAAATTGTTTGGGTAGTGAGAGCTATCCTATCCTCCCCTCACTTCCCCTACCTATTCTGCTCTACTGTACCCTACCCTACCCTACCCTACCCTACCCTATCCTATTCTCCCCTCCCCTACTCTACCCCACTCTCCCCTCCCTACCTATTCTGCTCTACTGTGCTCTACCTTACCCTATCCTACCCTACCCTACTCTACCCTAACCTACCCTATCCTATCCTACCCTATCCTACTCTACCCTACCCAACTCTACCCTACACCATCCTACCCTCCCCTACCTATTCTGCTCTACTGTGCTCTACCCTACCCCATCCTACCCTACCCTACTCTACCCTACCCTGACCCTATCCTACCCTGACCCTATTCTATTCCAGTTTTGTTAGCCAGATCAAGTTCTGGTATTAATACTAAGCTAATTTACATGCCTGCAAATCTGAAATTTCTCATGTTCTAGGTGCAGGGCAATGGACAGTGGTGGTCAGGAGAGGAATGCCAGGAAATAGAAGCCACTGTATTTCAGGATAACTGTACAGCATCCTGCAGTGGGGGATCGAATAGATCTAGAGTGACCGTGAGGTAGACCTGATGTTGCATAGGTTATATGCACTTCCCAGTTGATTTCAGTGCCTTGAGCCTGTGCCTGAGCACTGCATTGACATAAATGGCTTTCCATTCTCTATTGCCATTAGGAGAGTTTTCTTTCTTCTTTTTTCTTTTATTTTTAATTAATTTTTTTTTGAGACAAGGTTTCTCTGTGTAGCTTTGGAGCCTGTCCTTGAACTCACAGATATCTGCCTACCTCTGCTTCCCAAGTACTGGGATTAAAGGCGTCTGCTACAACTGCCCGCCTTCTTTCTTCTTTCATTCTCTTTTAATGTGTCCCTGACTGACAGGATAGATAGGAAAGAAGGATGCTCTAGGAAGTTTGCTACAGGCAGGCAGGGAATGCCAGGCCTAGATCCATCTATTCTAGAAAATTATCTTAAGACTGAATTGTTGCCGTTGGCTGCTAATCTTTGCTATATCTTTAACTAATCTCAGTGTCTACAGTTATCATGGCTTCAGTAAAGGGATGAGTTGGGTCTCCTCTACCTTATTGTAAATAATACAGCCTTATTTCATAAACTTCTGCAGTTAACTATTTGGAGCACATACACATATTTGTTTTTTTACAGACACCTCTCAGAAGAAAAGGAAACATGAAAACAGAGAAGGAATGGGGTAAATCACAACAGGAGGAAGCATTTATTTTTCTTTAGTTTTCTGAGATAGTCTGATTGGTAGCCCAGGTTGCCTTTGAACCGGTGATCTTTCTGATTGCTCTCCAAGAGTTGAGATTATAGGTGTGCATCATCACACCTTGATGGAGACATTTGTTAAAAGGTGAAACACTGATTTCAATAGGAATATCTGACTTTTGTTTTTGCGGGAAGCACAGGAGCTTCTTCATGTTCTCAAAGAAAACCCAATTCTGTTAGCTTGCTCCGCACACATGTAGTGACAGTCCGCGCTGGTCTTCTGCCACTGTTCCAACGGTCTCCATTCCTGGATGGAGACTAGACGGGAGACAGGGCAGCATTCTCTGCGCATGCTCAGTGTGCTCCATCTGCTGTGCGTCCTGTCATGTAGTTTCCAGTGTGCTTGAAATGGTTTTATTTACTGCAAATGAGAAAGGTACTATGTTGCCAATGATGGGCTCTGCAGCTCCAGCATCGTGGATAACACTGTCGGGCTACTATTGCAGAATGAAAGGTGAACAGGTAGGTGTTGGACCAAGCGTGTACAGATGACAGTGTACACATCAGCACTTGCTTCCCTTCGGGTGTTCTTTGTACTTCCACACTCATGCCAAGGTGTTAAGCTACTGGAGCAAGGCTTGAATTTAGCCTTACTTGTGAGAGGCAGCCCAACAATTTATTTTGGTGGTTTGCTTTCGACGTTTTTCATCCTCCCATATAATCGGTTTCTCCGTTTACTGTAGAGCAGTGGTTCTCAGTCCTCCGAATGCTGTAACCCTTTAATACAGTTCCTTATGTTGTGCTGACCCCCAACCATAAAATTATCTCACTGCTACTTCATAACTATAATTTTGCTACTGTTATGAATCGTGATGTAAATATCGGATGCAGGATATCTGCTGAGTGACCCCTGTGAGGGTCAAGACCCACAGGTTGAGACCCAGTCCTAAAGCTCAGCAGACTGATTTCAGTCTTAATTTCTCTTAGGCTATTACCTCTCCTAATCATGCTTCTATATAGAGGCTCAGAACATCAACCCTCAAGTCACTAAGTTCATACTTTAGACAAAGACTCAGGAAGCAGCAGCTCAGGTCGAGGCAGTGTCTGTGCCTCATAGTACTCTGAACGAAAGCAATCAAGACCTGGATTCCATGAACAGAGTTGCCAATCCGTGTCTGGCAATCAAGAGGAAGATAGAAAACTTGCTGGTAGATATGACTTGTTAGAATTCTAAGAGGATGAAAGAAAATTTTCCTTTAACTTTTTATATAGAAACAATTCAGACTTACAGAGCATTAGAAAGATAGTACGCTGGTATTTGTAGACCCTTCACACAGTGTTACCAGCGTTTTTGTCTCATTCCTCTACTCAGACTCTACTGTTCTGAACCATGAAAGTAGAGGCAGCATGAACTTTACCGTCTGCAAGCAGCAGGCACAACTATGCCTGCAAACCAAATAACTCCACAAGATGATCTTGAAGGAAATCTATATTTGTATTCCTCTAATTGTTTCACACGTATCATTTACAGGTATTTTTCCTCACCCCTATATATATATATATATATATAATATATATATATTATATGTATATATGCATGTGTATGTGTATACACACACACAGAGACACATATTTTGAGGCTGAAGGATTAAACTTGGGCCTTGCCAATGTTAAGCACTCATTCTACCCCTGAAATGCATATTCATCCTCCCCACAATTTGAAATTTGACTATGATCCACATGTGTTTAGTCATGTTTTTTAGTAGTCTCTTGAGATTTATACTTTTGTTAGGTAAAGTATGCCCCATGTGTTGTGTTCTGATTATATTTTTTCTTAGTCTCATCTTCTGTCTTTTCCTTCCTTCCTTTCAGTTTTTTAGACAGAGATTTTGTATAGCAGGCTAACTTTAAACTCACTATGTAGCCCAGGACAACCTTGAACTTCTGCTTCTCTTGCCTCCACTTCTCCAGCATGGAGTGAGATTACAGGAATGCACCACCACACCTGGATTTGGTGCATGCTAGGCAAGTACTCTACCAACTTAGTTAGCTATACCACCTCTCTGACTGCATCATGAATAGAATCATGTTAACCCTTTGGGGCTCAGGTCCTGTGCTAATTAGGGTTTTTGTTGTTAGGACCAAACACCATGAACAAAGCAGCTTGGAGGAGGAAAGGGTTTACTTGGCTCACATCGCACAGTCCTTTGAGGGAAAGCAGGCAGGAACCCAAGCAGCAGAACCTGGGAGCAGGTGGGGCTGTCAAGGAGTGTGCTCACTGTCTTCATGGCTTGCTCAACCTGCTTTCTTATAGAACCCAGGATCACAAGACCAGGAATGGCAGCACCACAATGGGCTGTGCCCTCTCACATCAATCAAAAATGCCCTACAGGCTTGCTTATAGCTCAATCTTAAGGAGGCATTTTTTCAGTTAGGTTCCCTCCTCTCAGATGACTCTAGCTTGTGACAGGTTGACATCAAACTAGCTAGCACAGTCCCATCAACAGATTTTTGTCATACTATCACATTAAATCTAGAGTTTATGGCTTCTATTTTTTAAAATTTAATTAATTAATTTATTTTTTGTATATGGGTATTTTGTCTGCATTTATGTCTGTGCACCAATTGCATGCTTGGTTGGATCCCCTGAGATTGGAATTACAGACAATTTGAGCAGTCATGTGCATTTTGGGAATTAAACTCAGGTCCTTTGGAAGGCAATCAGTGCTCTTCTGAGCCATCTCTCCAGACTCTCCTGTTTTTATATGTCTGTCTATATGTATCTCATGGAGTAAGGGTTTTAATTTTTTCTGTTGTGTGATGTTTCACTCTTTTTGCTTTTTGAGGGGCCCACCAGCCAGCTCTCAAATCACACATGAAGGCTTATTCTTAGTTATGAATACTTGGCCTTATCTTGGCTTGTTTCTTGCCAGCTTTTGTTATCTTAAATTATCTTGCCTACCTTTTGCCTCTGGGCTTTTATCTTTCTCTATTTCTGTATCCCTTAGTTTACTTCTTACTCCGTGACTGAATGGATGACTGGCCCCTGACCTCCTCCTCTCCTTGTTCTCTTGCCCCTCTTTTCTCTCTCCTCTGAAATTTCTCCTTCTACTTATACGCTCTGCCTGCCAGACCCACCTATCTTTGTTCCTGCCTCACTATTGGCTGTTCATCATTTTATTAGGACCATCAGGTGTTTTAGACAGGCAAAGAACCACAGCTTTACAGTTAAATAAATGCAGCATAAACAAAAGTCATACGCCTTAAAATAATATTCCCCAACATTTTACCAACATTTCTCAAAACCTGAATGTCCCCAAAGGTTAGGGTTGGAGTAAGGTATTTTCATCAGAAGTAAATAGGCATTTACTCCACACTTATATCTTAAATTTATATATGGTTCTCAGCCGTTCGATGTGGATGCTAGGAATTGAACCCAGGACCACTGCAAGAGCAGCAAGTGGTTTTAACCACGGAGACATCTCTCCATCACAGATCCATTTTATTTTTAAACAACTGCATGGTATTCTGCTGCACAAATGTGCCAGGCTGTATCCCACTCCGGTCCTCTATTGTGAGCTGCTCATGTTTTGCTGCTATAACTGCAATGGGGCAATGAGTGAGACTGATGACCCGTTGATTGCAGAAGAACAGTTGGAAACCATTGCTGTCTGTCTGTGTTTGAAACCATGAGACTGATTTTCTTTTTATTATTTTTTTCTTGGTGGGAGGCTTTGAGACAGGGTTTCTCTGTGTAGCCCTGGCTGTTCTATAACTCACTTTGTAGGGTAGGCTGGCCTTGGACTCACAGAGATCTGCCTGCCTCTGCCTCCCAAATGCTGGAATTAAAGGCATGCGCCACCATACCCGACTTTGATTACTTTTTATATTAAACTATTTTTATTCTTGTTAACCTTTAAAAAGCCCGTGTCGACATAGTTTTAAAATACCGTGTCATTAGGTCTCCAAAAGATAACTTACCAAAAGAGAACTCTTAGTTATTATTTGTTCAGTAAATATTCCTCTGTATGTCGAGCATTATATCACATATTATAGTTTCCATTTTACTGAAGCAGTAGGGAGAAGAGGAAGGGAAAGTTAATAGTGTAGTTGTATTAATATTTCCTAGGGAGGAGTTACACAAACTGTAGCTCCTCCCCCTTCCTCCGACCTTTTAAAAATGACTATAGCAAATGTTAGGGCTTAATGTTAAGCATTTTTGTTTGTGTGTCCTTGTGTGTCCAGCTTACATGTTTAGGTATACATGTGGAGAACCAAAGCAGGAATCAGTGTCTTCCCTAATCACCCTTTGTTCTATGTATTAAGTCAAGGACTCTTGTTGAATCTGGCTGTTCTTTCCCAGGCATCCTTTGTCTTTAGCATCCAAGTGCTGGCGTTATAGGTAGCTGCTACACCTGCCCCGTTTTAATCAGCGTTCTGGGACCCATTGTGGCAAGATCTTTATCCACTGAGTCAAATCTCCATCTCTGTGTTAAGTGTTTTTGAAAGCCATGACTACCTTATTATTTGTATTATGAAACTTTCAAAATACATCTCTGTGGCAGAGGTATACCCAATCCCAGGCTAAGATAGTCAACCTAATATCTATAAATGGATTCCAGATCTTAAAATGCAACAGGCATGTTTTCCTTAATTTTATAGAGCAGAAAAACACTATAAACTTCATTTAACATTTATGTATTAAAATAATTTATTATTTAAATTGTGTACATGTGTGAAATAATTTTTTTTAGAAGAATGCTGTGGGAACTCCTTCAGCCAATAGTTTTTAAGATACTGGCCCACTTTGAGCATGATTTCATGTACTATAAATACAGACAGAAAGAATGAATGCATGGGCCTCTTGGCTGCTGAATTCAGTTCCAGTTCCCAGCACACGCAGAGGACTGCGGATTGCTTCTGTTTCTACGAGTTTGCCCCCTAATGAATAAATCTTTGTTATACTCCATTCCGGGCTATTTTGGAACTCTTTTGTACACCAACAAAAGAAGACAATTTTTTTATGTGTATGAATGCTTTGCCAGCATGTTTGTATATGCACCATGTGCTTGTAGTACCTGTAGAGACCAGAAGGGGCCGTCCTATCCTTGTAACTGGTGTTTATGCTGTGCTGGGAACTGAACCTGGCTCTTCTCAAGATCAGCAAGTGCTTTTAACAGTGGAGCCCCTCCGTAGCCTAAAAGCAAAGTTCTAAGATGATGACGAGGCATCGGCTTTCACTTCCTGGAGTCAAGAGGCAGAAGTGCGCAGGGCAGATGCCTGTCGGGACCTCCTTCCTCCTCACCTTGTGGTTTTAATCACCTCCTCAGTCCTTCCTTGTGCCTCTTCTGTTTCCTTTGACATAGTTCATCTTGGCTTTTACTGTTCATTACTATGGTTTTACAAAGGAAATCTGTTCAAACTGAAAAATCCTCTTAGAATTTTTTGTTGATGCCAATATTTTAAAGTTAACGGGTTTTTTAAAAAAAACAAAACCATGACACCAATTTCTATTTTCTTTAGACTTTGCAAAGAGGTTGCTGTTTGTCTTGCTGTCTTTGTAGAGTAATTCCTTCTATTATACCTTATTTTTCTTTTATTTGTTTGTGTGCGCATGCACACACACACACACACGCATGCACACACACACACACACACATGCACACACACATTCACACACATGCACACACACATGCACACTTACATGCATGCATGCATGCACTCACACATTTTTTTGTCTTTCCACCATCTCAGCCCTGGGAATCAAACTCAAGTCTGCTTGGAGTTTAGGTCATCAAGATTGGAATCAAAGACCTGTCTCTGTTGAGCCCTCTCTCTGGCCCGCCCTGATAAATCTTTCAGTTGTTCAGATGCCTGGGGAATTACTGACTTCTCCATGTATGACAGTCAGGTGTCATACTGGATTAGTTTTCATTGTTTGTAGTAGTTTTCCCATAATTCCCTTGCGTCCTCTAGCTAAGCTACCATTTCAGCTGCACGTCTCCACAGTTGCAATAAATAAAATAATGGTAGCGTGAAGATGCGTGGTTAACTTGTTTGTATGCATATTTCAGCATAGTCTCGAGAGGTAGCTGTTTGAAACATGACAGAAACTGTCAAACATAAGCGCACACACAAGAACAAGTTTCAGACAACACGAAGCAAAACAAGACACACACACAAACAAGAACTGTTCTCACACACGCAGTTGCTGGTTAGTCGGCTGTTTCAGAAGCGGTGGAGACAGAACAAAAGGACATATTTGCATGCCGAAGACTGCGTCGCTATCACCGAATAACCGTCAATCTTGCATTCTCTGTGTTCTTTAAAGCCTGACTAGGTAACTTACAATAAGTACAGATTTGAATCTGTAAAGCACTCCAGTGAGATGCTGTTCTACTGCTCCCTGCTTATGTTATAGTTCCTCCTTAGACTTCATTTGGAAGCCAAGTGTAGTTGACAAGAAAAGTGGGAAATGCCCAAGGGAGTCCTGGCTCTCAGTCTAGGGACACCTCGCCGTCCCTGGGAGTGCCCCGCTAGGCAGCAGCCCACACTTTCTGTACTGTCCAGGAGGCTTCTGAGACTCCTTGAAGTGTCACTGGGAACGGTTCCAGCCGCGTGTTTACCTGCAGTGTGTGGTTGGTTAAGATGAAGCGGGGTGGGGACCTGGCCTGCCCAGTTGTATCTCTCCCGAGAACATGAAGGAAGTGATTCATGACAACCAGTCAGACCTTGCTGGGAAAATACAACTCAGCATTGCATCAGCCAATGTTTGAAAACAAAGTGTCCCAGGAAACTGTTTGGAAACCCGTCCTATCACTTTCGCTTATTGGTTTAACTATTTGTTTAGTTAACCAAAGCAGCTGCCACTTGTGTCTGGTTTTGCTGGTTAGGTATTCTGGTAAGCTCTGGAGGGGGCGGGGGCACCACTCTCGCTGAGGGAAGTGAGGATCTGGGGTTTGCTTAGCCTGGTGTAAGCAGGAGGTGGTGGAGCCGGTTACTAAATCTAGTTCTGCCTAGGTTGTGTGGGGACATGGATTGTCACTGGAGCTCTAAGAAACCCCGCTTTCTGATTTGGAGAATGAGTGTAGTACTGTGCAGCAGTGTGTGAGAAGGAAGTGAGGCCACACGAGTAAGACATCTCCGCCAGTATTTCCCTGTACACAGAACACCGTGTGTTATTAGGTCACCTTCTTCTCTCTCCACCCAGCATCTTCTTGATGGTCGGACAGTTGTAGCCTTCATCACATTCCTCAGCATCCAAGCCTAATGTCCTGCCTATGTGGTAGCAAATTAGGGCATGGTTTATAGAATCCTCAACGTAATGATTTCCCCGAGGATGAACTTAAAGCAATTTTTTTCCACTATTTTAGTAGTTAACCTCTTCATCTGCTTTGCAAAGGCCAAGGGTATTTTGAGATGATTAAGATGAAGCCACAGTTTATTGAATCAAACCACTAAATGGAGTGAGAATGAGGCTATAATCCGTGTAGCAGGTGACATAACTGGAGAGGTAATAAGCAGCAGGCAGAAGCAGAGTCATAAAAATGCACTTATCTGCCACTGCGTTTGTGTGAGGGCTTACACTACTGGTCAGGAATTTCCGGCTCTGCCATTTTTTCTATGGAACTTTTCAATTGCTTGTAATGGGTCACTGTGCTTTCTCCTCAGGCCGGGCTGTTATCAGCTCCATTCAGATATTCCTTCCTCTGTGATTTGGAGTGCTTTGTGACACTCGTGAATGGGTGTGCCTAGCTTCCAGTGATTGGAATGCGCCCCTGTGTCACGAAGACTCATCAGCTTTACTTCCTACTTCCTCACACATAGAAGTGTTGGAGGTGGTTACGCTTTTCAAACACTTATTAGTTCTTTAAACCTCTAGGAAAACAGTTCTGTAAGATCAAAAGCCACAAATACATTTTGTAAGAAGTCATTTCCTACTAAATTAATATGCTAGATAACAATAAAGAAACTTTCAGGGAGTCGAAGGCACCAATTTGAGTATTTTTTTTGTTTTTGTTTTTAGGTTTATTTACTTTATGTGTACAAGTGTTTTGCCTCATACATGTCTGTGCACCGGGTGTCCTCAGAGGTCAGAAGAAGGCCTTCTCTTCTCTGAAACTGGAGTTACAGATGGTTGTGAGCCAGCCACTGTGTGGGTGCTGGGAAACAAACTGGGGCCCTCTGCAAGAGTAGTCAGTGCTCTTAACCTCTGAGCCATCTCTCCAGCCCCTAATTTGAGTATTTCTAGTCAGGCCTGTGATACCAGGTGAAACAAGGCTGTGTGAGTGTGGAGGACTGTGTGTGAGAGTGTGGAGGACTGTGTGTGTGAGTGTGGAGGACTGTGTGTGTGAGTGTGGAGGACTGTGTGTGTGAGTGTGGAGGACTGTGTGTGAGAGTGTGGAGGACTGTGTTTGTGAGTGTGGAGGACTGTGTGTGAGAGTGTGGAGGACTGTGTGTGTGAGTGTGGAGGACTGTGTGTGAGAGTGTGGAGGACTGTGTATGTGAGTGTGGAGGACTGTGTGTGAGAGTGTGAAGGACTGTGTGTGAGAGTGTGGAGGACTGTGTGTGTGAGTGTGGAGGACTGTGTGTGTGAGTGTGGAGGACTGTGTGTGAGAGTGTGGAGGACTGTGTGTGTGAGTGTGGAGGACTGTGTGTGTGTGTAGGACTGTGTGAGTGTGGCTGGCAACAGGATCTAGTCCAGCCCCACAGTCAACTCAGCGAACTTGGTAGAACATTGAGTTGTATTGTCTCCAGCTCTAGAAACGAACTGTCTTACTTTGTGAAGTCAGACGTGGCACCTGAAAACCGTCATGTAGACATGTGGCATCAAACTTCCACAGCCTTGGTTTTGTGTTTAGACATGCAAGTTAACTCTGAACCAGTTTTTAGGTGTGTTCAGCTAGTAAATGAGAAGTGGTGTAGAGAGGTAGATTTGATGTCTCTTAGCTTTCATGGAGAAACATGGCCCTATGGTTTTTTGTTTGTTTATTTTGTTTTTAAAATTAGACTTAGCAGAATTATCAGCTTTCTAAATATAATCCAATTTTTACTTTTTCTTTTATCAATTTCACAACAATCTGCCAGGAAAGGGGAAAAAATCAGTATTTTCTTAAAATCTCTTTGTATCAATTGTGTGCAGCTGTCAATTGAATCTTATCCAGTGTTTAACACCCTTAGATTAAAATTTCTGACATTGCCCACTGATATGGTGGTAGGCGGATCTCTGTGAGCTGAAGGCAACTTTATCTAGACGAGGATTCCAGCCAAAGCTGTTCAGTGAGACCCGTGGGAGAAAAATCAAAGAGAATATGTCATAATTTCCTCCGACTATAAAAATGGAACCAACCCTAGAAATGCAAGCGTGGACTCATAGATTTCACTGGGCACTTCACTATGCTACTGGATAAAAAGTGGACCAGGAGTGTGTATCTTGGAAGGGGGCAGAGGGAATTGCCATGATCTCGGTAGGTGGCATGATGTCTGTTTGGTAAGACAGGAAACCCAGCTGCAGTGGTTTTTAGAAACAGTAAGTGAATTTACTTTTGAAAAAATTAACTTCTTAGTAAGTAATCACGTTAAAAATTGAAATGTTGGAAACAACAGTTTTTGTAACTAAAATTGGTAGTATTTGTCTAGTTTTTGCTGTACTGGAGTTGAGCCCAGGTGATTGACATCTTGTAGGTGAAAAGCAAATGTTTTACCAGTTGAGTTATAGCCTCAGCCTTCAGAATTATAATTTATAAGTAAAGGAAAACAGAATTTCACTGTTAAAGGACGGACTGCATAAAGACAAATTCCACTTTACACAAGGCTCCTAGAGTTGTACTTTAGGAAAGACGGTAGACAGGAATAGACCTCGTCGATAAAGTCAGTGATAGGGCATACTTGCAGTGCAAAGCCCTGGGTTCAGTCCCCTGCACTCCAGAAAACAAGAGAACAAACTACCTTCAGTAGTTAAATACTGTGGTCTTAGCTCCAAAGAGATAGGAAAATGGAACCAATATTGAGTTCAAAACCGGCCAAATACATGTGAAGAGTCAGCGTGTCATACGCAGATGAGCTGTTCCTGAATGGTGCTGGGGTAACTTGCTAGCCATTCGAGGGAGGGGACGAAGAGAGCTCGTCATGTAAATCAGAGTTACCAATGGATAGGAAGGGTTTCTTGTTAAAAAAACATGCATTAAACTGCTAGAAGACTAGTAATTAAAAATTAACCCTTCCGTTCTTTGACTATAGAAAGAGTCTTAAAGCAAGATAACCAAGCCAGAATGTAAACAGAGAAGCCCACAGAGTTAATGAAAGAGTTTACGGTAAATGGGAGCCCCCTGAGTGAGTGGCTCCCTTGTGCACAGAGCTTGGAGCTTAGTAGTAGAGCTACAGATGGGGAAGATGCCAGGGTGGAATTCAGGGAGGATCAGTTCTGAGAAACAAAAGGTGTGGTAGGAGGGGCTCAGAGAGAAACGATGGCTCCTTTCCAGAATCCGTTGAAAACTCTGACCTTTCCATCCAGAAAAATGTCCTCAAATAGATATACGCATTTTTGCGTGTAATGCTGGGCATGGCAGTAGTGCACTGTGGACCTCAGGTTCCGAGCCTTAATATAGCTTACTTATTTACTTATTTTCAGTGCTGGCAAGCACTGTGGCACTGTGCCCTCCCCCGACTTGCCCTTTTACTGTAGCGTTTGGAAGTCACATAAGACTTCAGGGTCACTTATCTATGCAATTTTTTGGTTTGGATTTGGTTTTGGCTTTTGGAGACAGGATTTCTCTGTGTAACTGCCCTGGCTGTCCTGGAACTCACTCTGTAGGCCAGACTGGCCTTCAACTCACAGAGATCCACCTGCCTCTGCCTCCTGAGTGCTGGAATCAAAGGCGTGTGCCACCGCCCGGCCTATGCAGTGTTAAAGAAAATCACATCTCACAGTTTCATCATAACGTCCAAAACCCTTGGAACTAAGGATCTGTTGCTTCCACTTGAACAACTCGGAGGATTAGGGCTGCTGAGATGAAACGGTTGGTGTCAGAGCCTTTTTGACGCAACTGATCTTTCTGCCTCTCTCATTCTAATTGAAGACTCAGTTTTTCAGGCTTGGGACTCTCCAGAGTTGAGTAAAACTATGTTTACTTGGAACGTTTAGTGTCAGGTTGTGACGTCAATGCATGCCGGTTGATAACATTTAAACCTGGTTTGCAGGAAATTCTGCTGTTACTAAAATATATTCTATTGATCGTCTACGCAATTTCATGCCAAGGCAAGATCTGGGGAACTATTTGGTTATTTTGGTCAAGGCAGTTGCTGGTAATTGCTGGTTTTACGTTGTTGTTTTTTTTTTTCTCCTTGAATTACATGAAAAAATAAACAGAGACTATTTGGCATATGTATTTGAAGATTTTTTTTATAGCTTTACTACTGAGTTTTTAAAATACAAAATATTATTTGTGAGGTACATTAAAGGTAACATTAAGGGAGGATAATGTCACAGAGGACTGTTCTTTTGGGATGAATCTAAGAAATTCTTTGGACAAGGTGCCTCTTTGGGCACCTCTTGTTCTCCCAGTGGGGCAAAGCAAGGCTTCCGTCTGTCTGCTTGACCTCTCCTGATTACTCAGTACTAGCAACTGGAAAGAGCATCTTTGGTGTGTGTTCAACCATTTATTTCTAAATGTACGCAGACTCCTCTCCATCAGTAGAGAAATCCATAGATTCTGAGCATTTCTTTGCAAAACTATTTTATTGGTCACTGTGACTTGGAATTGATAGCATCATTAATTAGAGACTAATCTGGTGGGGAAGAGGAGAATGGGGCAAGAGAAAGCAATAAATGCCCAACTCTCTGGGAATCGGCCACTAGGACCACTGGGAAGGCGTGAAGCTGTCACCTAGGCTTCCCGGGCTCTGGGCACTGTCCTGCACACACGTACCTTCTCCTCACTCTCAATAAGCCTGCGAGGTGGCAGGTTTCACCCTCTATATCTAACAGAGGCAGGAACAGCCTCAGAGAGGTTTTCATAAATACCTCAAACTGACTATTAGCAAATTGCTATCAGGATTTGAACTCAGGAGCATGGAGGCCTTAAACCTGTGAGTGCATGCATACATGTGTGCATATGTGTGTGCATGCTAGCGTGTCACAATGCTGCCTGTGGCCATCTAAGAGATGCTAATGCTGTAGTCATTTCTCCGCATTTGATTTCTGGTTAACTGCCCAGCATTCTTTTCAGCGTAAGTGCCCCACACTCCGGTTTATTTTCATTCCGAGATAAGAGTACATAGAGAGCTGCAGGTCCTTTTAGGGTTTGTTGAAATTTATTCTATATTTACTACTTGCTGTGCATCAGAATGACTTGATTAGTTGAAAATAGAGGCATTAATTCCCGTGTGGGATCTGAATAATGTATGGTGTGCGGATTTCTAGCTCTGCCTTTGGAGCATGCTAATTTGCATTTGTCTCTTGTCTTGTGCTTTTGGCAGAGCATGAAAATTTCAAGAATTAAAATCAAGGAGCATATGATTATCTGTACTTCAGGAGAGGACAACCATGAACCTGGGGACAGATCCAAGTGACCTGAGAGTGCAGCTCCATCCTGTGTCCTCCTGGGGACAGTCACAGCGATCTGAAGGTAAAGAGGACTGTGCTTTGATCATTTTGCTGGCTGTTGGCTGCCACAAGGCTCTAGGAAGAACACTATGGTGTGGCTGAGCATGTGCTATTGTGCTATTGTCTGTGTTTGACTCCACCCTCCCCCACCCCCTTTCTCCCTTGTGGGGAAGTCTAAGTGGAAGGGTTGTGAATGGTTGTGAATTTTTCAACCATTAAAAAAAAAAAAAGTGAAATTTTCAGGGGTTGTTGGCACATGCCTTTAATCCCAGCACTTGGAAGGCAGATCTCTGTGAGTTCGAGGCCAGACTGATCTACAGAGCGAGTTCCAGGACTGACTCCATAGCTACTGGGATACCTTATCTTGAAACCCTCCCCCCCACTCCCCAAAAAAGGTGAAATCATGACATTTTCAGGAAAACAGATGGAACTGGAGATCATTGTATTAAATGAAATAAGCTGGATTCAGAAAGACAAATACATGTTTTCTCTTCTCTCTCTCTCTCTCTCTCTCTCTCTCTCTCTCTGGAGGTCATAAGCACAGGCTCCAGCTTGAGACTGACCTTGAACTCTTGATCCTTCTCTTCCACCTCAAAACTTTGGGGTTATACGTATGTACCCTATGCCTGGTTTAGGAGGTGTTCTCTTGCAAGTTAAAAAAAGAAGTCACAAGACTAGGAACTTCATGAAGGTATCATATCTTCATAAGATACATGAAGTTACATCAGATAAGCATTTACTCATCAAATCTGCATAATAAAGTTATAAGTTCATCGTTGCTCTGCTTTCAAGGAACCCGTGAAGCAGAGAGGAAGAGGAGATAGAGAGAAGTTCCTCTATGGAGGTGTCGAGGGCTGTAGTCACAGGGCCAAACGAGGGCACAGCACAAAAGTGCTTGGCATCACCCGAGGTGTCAGGGGAAATGTTCCAGGAAGGAGTAATCTATTCCTAGCTACACTGGCCACATAGTTTGTGAGGCCCAGTGATTGAAAATGCTCATTCACTCAGAGACTGTGAAGACTTTCAAAATATCACAGCAAATATGGGCACCTCACCCTTCCACCCAGGACTGTAGAGCCCACAATGGGAAAATGAGCCCACCCGGGCACCAATGCTATTTGTTTCTTTTGAAGCATTTTTATAATCTAATTACACTCCAAGAGAATTATTTTTAAGTCAGTTTGGTGTGGCCCTGGTAGTTTTGGGGGAGAAACCAAGGACATTAGAAAGGGTCATGGGGACATTTGCTATTTATCGCTCTTCCCACACAGATCTGCATTTTCTGGAAAGTTTGGGGGATATTTGCAACTCTCTCCAGCAGCCTGTGCCTCTCAAACAAATGACATGTCAGCGACAAAAAGCAAGTTCTTAGTCTTGTGTTTGCTTGGAATGGAACAGAACCCCCGCCTACTGATGAGAAAAAGCAGACCACGTGGCGTCTGTGGAATACAGATGCCGCCATCCATAGATAGTGCCGTACGTGGAGGGACACCACTTACCTTCCTGCTGATGCCAGGCTTGGTCATGTGACTCACTTTGGGTATTTGGAGTGAGGGGAAGTGATGCAATCCAGGTCTGACGAAAAGTTCTGGCCAACTCTTGAAAGGCCACGGCAAGTCTCTGTTCCCCTTCATGTCTCCCACCACAAGTCCCATGTGTCCTTGCCCTCCAGCCTGGATGCTGAGTGAAGAAGCTGCAGGGGGTCACAGCCATCACATGACCTGTGCATGAGAAGTTACTAAGGTTAGGAAGTTATTTAGAACTTGGGGAAGGGGACTGATATGGCCTAATCATGAACTGGTTCTCACAAGTACAGCATTCGTCAGCTAAAGGACAGGCAGTTGCCTCACCCTCTGGAGAGCAGCATTGTCTAAGGGCAATGGCAGGTTCTTCCAGGGGAGGATGCGCTGTGAATTCTGCTGATGGTTTTAGGATCTGCTGGGAAATCAAGCTGAACCCTCGGTGCAGGAAAGGGTTAGATAGCTAACAGTTCCTGCCCTGGCTTCCCCATCTGCCTCAGCAGTTTGCTGCCTGACTGACCTCGGGCAAATTGCTTGGCCTCAGTTTCCCCATCTGTAAACTTGGAAGACTATTTCTCTGCAAGCTTTTAGGGTAGAAGCAATGCCTGCTGCTCTTTTTATATCAGAGCTCCCTTCCATTCGGCTTACCTGCTCTGATTCAGTTACATTTTGTGTGTTTCCATTACCTGCCCTTCATCAAAACAAAATAAAGGGGGCAGGAGATCAAGAGAGGGAGGCTGGGCATATACCTAACTGGTAGAATATTTTTTCCAGTACTTTCAAGGCTTGGGATTTAATTCTCAGTGCAAAAAACAAACAGTGAAAAAACAAAACAAAAAGACAAAAATGGAAACAAAAGCAAAGAAATGACTCCTTCAAACAAAAGAAAACAAAACCAAATGAGCTACAACACGGGACATCTGCAGATCCCTGCCTAGCACTCCTTTCTTGTCAAACGCCTGTTCTCTCCTCTTTCTGCAGAGACACCCATGATCGCACACATGCTATTTTCATTTGGATATCTTATGCATGTTCCTAAATATATTACTTATTATCATAGTATACACTGTTCTGGGTAGATAATGCATAGACAGCTAAATTTTAAAAAAAATGCAGCAATATTCTTTACAAAGGACAATTCTTGGATGGAAAAATTAATTAAGTCTGAGTGTGGTGGTGCATGCCTACAATCCCAGCACTCAGAGAGTGGAGGCAAGGTGCTGGTGAATTTGTGGCCAACCTGGCCTACACAGTGAGATTCTATCTCACAAGCAAAACAAGGAAAAATTAACAAGACAGACCATTTCTTAAAAGACAATGAAGGAGGAGGCAAATGAGCAATCTCCTTTCTGTAACTCATCAAGAGTTGTTTTTTCCCATTGTCACTGTGGACCAGACCCTGTATTAGGAACTGGAAGTCAAGCTAAAGGAGACAGAAAAAGGCCATTCCTCTGAGTTTGCTTTCTAATGGAATGAAGACAATACGTTAGCGAGCAAACGTAACAGCCCCTTCCCACCAAGCATCATAAGGGTCTCCAGGGAACCCTGCAATGAGTGGATTCAAGTTATGACCACAGTACAACTGTCCCTAGAAAGGGAAGTGGCAATCTAGACTATATGGACTGCAAAAATTAAACGCTAAAGTAAAATAATCCAACCAACAAAATAGGCTATAGTTTGTAGAATAAGAACCTAAAATGGTTAATAAATAACTTGGAAAAGAATTCAATATTCCTGTCCATTGGATAAAAGCAAATTAAAACTGATTGAGATTCTTTTTCACTCCAGTTAAATGAGAAAGAACTCTTGTTCAGTGCTGATGGGAATGTAAACTTGTACAGCCAGAATAGAAATCCTGTGGAGGTTCCTCAAAACCTTGACATCAAAACTGCCAGATGACTCGAGTAAACTCTCCAGGGAATTTACCAGAAGGATGCTGAGTCAATGCACCACAGAGATACTGGTACATCCATGTTTCCATTGCACTACTCACAATGTGCAAGAATTGCACTCCAAGAAATGCAGCCAAGCTAGGAGTCCATCAGACAAAGGGAATGTGATCCATGCACACAATGGAGTTTTTCAGCCATAAAAAAGAGTGAAATCATGCCGTTTGCAGAAAATGGATGGCACTGGAGACCATTGTGTTAAGTGGAACAAGCTGGATTCAGAAATACGAATACATGTTTTCTCTTACATGTGTAATTTATATTTAAATTTCTATACTTTTGTTTAGGTTATGAAAGTAGGAAGGGGAATGTGAGAGAGGAGGAAAGATTGTAATGGGATGCATGTGATATGAACAGAGGTGGAGAAAGGGGGACAGCAGCAGGGGATGAGGAGGGGATACACACAACCCCTCCTCCTATATATATATATAATGTTATATATATAGTATCATATGTAATATATATAATAATGTATAACGGCATGCATATGTGTAGCGTGCTAAAAAAGAACCCGTGAATAAATAAAGAAGGGAAGTAAGATTTATTGGGCAGCTGTCTTCTGTTAGTTTATCTGTTGCATTTCATTAATTTTCATAATAGCTCCTAGTGCTCCATTTTTCAGGTAAGACATCTTACAGTTCACAGTGGTCAGCCAACTTTCCCGAATGGGCCGGCTGATGAAGAGGGACTTTTGATCCTTCCCGCCCACTTCCTCAAACCTGACAGTTCTTTCAAGCAGGCAAACCCTGACCACTGTCTTCAGTCGTGCTATGTTTAGACAATCGATTATTGTATCCTGGAATAAAGTTCGGGCTCGGCTTCCTGTGCCCTTCCAGGTGGTCTCCTCTAATCCGCTGTCCCATTACCTGTGGGCTGCTCCTCCTTGAGCCCAGTTCTGCCCCTGTGAAAGGCCTGTGCCTGTGCCAGCTGCGGGCTCTCACGTTCAGAGTTGTTCAATGGTACAGCATTGGCTGTGCGTTCTCTATGATGTGCCCAAGGTTTGTGTCTAACTGATCGGCCACTCTCTGAGCCCAGGGAACTGAAGACGTGAGTCCCCCTGACTGCAAATAAGAACCCAGAGGATCCCTTTATTCTGTGTGGGAAGAGATGGCCTCAGAGGCACTCTAGAGGCTGTTGGAGAAAGGTTGGTATGCCAGGGCAGTTCTGGCACAGTAAGGGAGGGGAGAATGACTCTGGAACCAGCCTTGGCAATGATCCAATTTCAGGTCCCAAGGTCAATTATGGGAGGTGCTAGCTTCTACTGACTGTCTCCCTCTGAGGACCGTGGTACAGATTCAGGTGACTCAGAATGTCTCTCTCTCTGTGGAGAATGTCACTGCTCAGTACCAGAAAGCTACTCAGCCTTGGCCTTGAGGGAAATGTCATGTGCCCAACCTAAATGGCATAATCTCATTTGAAACACAAAGATTCTATAATTATGAGCAACACACAGAGAGAAAGGGCCCTTGTCTGGGTCAGGCCTCAACAGCATGATCACTTCCAGCAGAGAACTCATCTCTAGGTAACTGTTGTATTGGGGATGCGGTATGACA